CCCCAAAACCCCAAAACCCCAAAACCCCAAGCATTTATTCTGTTATTGAAATTAGATCATCAATCTTCAAATTATTTTAAGCAGATTTAATCATGTAAAGTTTAATGTCTAATTTTCCAATGTCAACATATTCCTTCAATTTTTCTTTTGTTTCTTCAGTATTTCCCCTTCCAGTAATATAAATCTTGCTTAAATTCTGAATAACGTCATTAGACTGAGATAATCCTTGAATTAAGTGTTCAACTGCATAGCCATATCTTCCATAATTAGTCCAACTCAGTCCTAACTCCTTTATCTTTGACCCTTCACAAGAATTTCCGAATTCTGGCAAAGATTCGAGATAAAGGATTCAACTCTCAAATGTTAAAGAGCGGACATGCTTAAATTTTTGAAAAATAGTCAGCATTTGGTGCTGACTTAGTTTCCAACGGAGAATATAAAGTTCTTCAGTGACTCTGTCGCTTAGGTTGATTAGGGGGTCAAAATAGTAACCAATTCGAAATTTATAACCATATGAAAAAGTTATTTTAAAATATTCACAGTTTTCAGGAAAATACTTGCACAAAAAATTATTGCCGGTCTTAGATTCCCCTTCATGAATCTTCAATTCTAATTTCTCAAACGCGCATGGTCTATCTTTTATTAATGAAAGAACTTCTATATTCTTTTCTGTATCTAATGCAGCCTTAATTTTATCGTGTGAGGTTATTGAGAATTGATTTTTCCACCTTGGATCTGAAGCGAATTCTCTGAATTCTTCAAATTCAGAAAGGTCATATTGAGAAAGCAATGGATCGTTTGGATCTCATAATTTCAATTTATATAACTCTTTGTTTATAAAATATTCAGAAAGAGATTCGTGATTGGATAGAGAGGAATATCTTTTTCTTTGTGTATAAATTGCTTGCTTAGCTTCATCGATAAGATCTTTGATTTCATTTTCAGCATATTTTTTAATTGGATCAATTTCTTCTGAGATTTTTGGGTTATTTGACCCTGAATATTCGGGGGGTTGAGCCTTGCATTCCTCTTTCGCATTAAATTCAGATAAATTTTTAGATACTGAGCCAAGAGAAGAAGGATTATTTTTTGAAACTCCAGTAATACTTCTTGAATTATTGTTAGATGTATTTATTGGAGAAGAAGTAGAATAGATTGTATATGAACTTCTTGGGTTAATTTTTATCTTTTTCACAATTCAATTGTCTGGAAGGGGAAGGATCTTTGATATCATCATAATTATTTTCGCTCAGCTGACAATTTCTGTTGGGTTCTTGGTCAAAATCTTTTTCTGTTCTAATTTTTTTATAGGAATTATTCTTTACGGGAAGCTTTTGCTTTGTTGTAGAATCAGAAGGATTTAAAGATGGTTCAAATGGCTTTTTAGATAGATGAGAATATTTATCTGAACTTTCTTTTTTAGATTTGTTTTGACAATTTAGTCTCATTTTCATGTTAGGGTTAATATCTGTAAAGCAATCATTCTTGTCTTTTTGTGGAGATATGATTTCAATATTGAATTCAATATTTTCAAAATTAGGCTCAAGTTCTTTATTATCACTATGAGCATAATCTTTGTTTAAATACTCTATAATTTCATTTGTTTTTGAATCAACTTTTTTCTTCCTCCAGTATCTTGGAAACCTATTCTCCATGATATATTCGAGAATCTCTATTTTTAGCATATTCTGACTAAAATTAGTATCACTTTCATAATCGTTTGAAGTTGGGAACCAATAATTTGTTTGCTCTTTAATACCTAAACCATAAAGATTTTGTATTTGAGCTAATAAAATTTTTTCAAAATCATAAATATCTCTAGCTTTACTGGAAGACTCATATCTTCCAGTTAAATTTATCAATATTTCATTTTGAAGGAGAATAAACTGTTCTAGAGGAAATTGATGCTCAAGTGAATTTGGTTTAATAATTAGATCGTCAAGTTTCAAATTTAGCTCAGAATCTCTTCAGTATGATTCTTTACATACTTCTCTTTGAAGGAGTTGAAATATTTTTAAACTCTGTCTGAGATCTAGTTTGAAGAGTTGGACATATTTAGAGCACAAAAGATAAGAAATATGAAATTTATGCTTGAATCAGAGTTGAATTCCTAGTTCAGGAAGATAGTAAAAGGATTCTGTATCTCATTCTTCATTATGCTGACACCTGGCAGCTTCAATATTTACATCAGTTATAGGTTCCCTGGATTTCCTTTATTATAGAGGAAGCACTCTTTTAATTGATGAAATTTTATCTCTTTGGGACAATAGTTAAAGATCAAGTTTGAGTTTATTTTCAAGCATCTATCATAAAATTCAAGAATTCAATTTTCCTCAATGGTGTCCAATCTTTTAATAGTACCCCCAATTTCTCAAGCATTAACATGGCGATTAAAACTGTCGATAACTGATAAATAATTATTATCATATCCATCAGGCTCTTTTATTTTAACATTACTATTAGTAAAAGATCTATCTAGATCTTTCTCAGCATGTATAATAGGAATTATGTTTTTAGAAAGATCCAAACTTTGAAATAAATTCTTCTTGTTGTGAACTCACTCAATTAAATAATACGACTCAAAAATTCAAAATCTAATCTCCTCTCAAATAAGGAGATGGATGCTTTCTTTTGTCTCTTCTGTTGATATCAGACTTTCTCCAAAAGAGAATTTTCCTATATTAAATTTGGAAACTGAGAGAAGTTCAAACAACATGTTAGGATCTCAATAACAAAGAGATGATAAGAATTTAAATAAATATCTTTCTCTTTAATAAGTTCTTTTTCAACTCCTGACATTAACAATTTCTCATATTGATGTTCCAACATTGGCCTCATTTCATTCCCTCGTCTCAAATGAAGATTTCTCCATTCTCTACATTTCACTAATAAAGACTTAAATATCATCTTAAGATGCCCATATAGTAAGCTATAAACTCTCCGATCAAACTGATCCTTCTCCCTTTCCTCCTTCTGAGTAAAGACTTGTTCAAACATCTCCTGTGCCTTTTCTATAAATTGAACATCCTCAGCAGTTATCGCAAACATATCTAACTCTTCATATTGTTGGTTTGACCACCTAGATTTCTTTCGTTTTAAATTTCAATGCCAGATACAAAAATAGCCTCTCTTATTCCAATTAACTCGGCTCAAAATGGGTTTGCAAATGCATCCTTTTGTGCTTCAAATAATTTCTTGGTCTTCCATATTTTAAGTATTATAACATTTCCAGATTTTTTACCCTTTTTGGGGTTTTGGGGTTTTGGGGTTTTGGGG